TTGCACATTGTACAAGATCTTCTTCACTACACAATTTATGAGTTTCAAATGCGAAATAGAACAAGAAATCACCTCAATCCAATTTTTCAAACCTTGGTCGGACGTTAATGGTGGATTCGAGAATAAGAGGCTCGAGCTCGAGGAAGACGTATTGGAGGAGAGAGACTCACGAGGTGGATCCCATCTGAATTTATTTTATTTTTCATCTTTATTTTTTTATTTCAAAGATATTTAGACTCAATCAGAGTAGTGAAAAATAGTATCTATTCTATAAGAGTATACAAGGACATTCTCCTTTTTCTCCAGCCTTTCACAAAAAACAATGACAGCATTCGTCGTTCCCGCGTGGTACTCCTGAGACAATTCAAGGACAAATATGTAATTTAGTTGTTAACAGATTGGCGCATGAAGAAAGGAATTCCACCGCAACTTTGAATTAACAAATTTTGCTTTTTTTGATTAAATTATTTCCTCTGGCTCTCGTTTTCCCTCTCCTTCGACTTTCCCCTTGAGGTGGTGATTCCCCCGGAAAATCCAATTCCTTAAACGGCATTTTCCGTCACCGGATTATCCTGTTCCTCTGGTTCACGCTTACAGCAGATCGGAATCGATTGCGTCCTTGTCACAGAAACAACAACAAACATTCGGACGATTCTGTATTCGATTTGAGTCGGAAGTGAAGATTCTCCCCCATTCTGATTTCTCCAAAGGCCTTATATTGTTTGGGTAAGTTTCAACACTATCTAGTTTTCGTATCTCTGAATTGCGTTTTTTTGGAATCTTTGTCTATTTCAAAATTGCGTCCATGTCATCGAGTACGCATTGAATTTTCTTCTTTGTTTTGTGGAAAAGTCAAATCTGCGTTTAGTTGATGATGATTGTCTCTAATTCGTTCAGGATAAATCGAGATGGCTGGTTCATCGAGGAAAAGTCTCTCCTTCTCTGGTCATTCATTTCAGGGGAGGAAGAAAGCTTCCGAAAACGAAGCTGGTGACCTCCCACGAAGATCTCTCACATCTTCTCGTTCTTCCATGTAATCACATTGCCTCATCTAATCCTTCCTTACTTGTTTATCATTAGATTTTGAGATTGTGATCCTGTGGCTGTTTTAGATACTACTTCTTCATTTTAAGCTTAACCATTATTTTTTAGTTAGTTTGGTGTTTGATCATCACTATACATAATTGCATGCCTTCGATATTGCACATAAGATACCTTATGGTTTGTTTGTTTGATTGTTAAAGCTGCACATGCAACATGATGATAGCTGATTGTACAGAAATGTTCTCTGATGCCTCCAACTTGGTGTTATGGCCTGATCACAATTGCATGTTTTTGTAGAAGCTTTAGTGGTGAGAGGAGTGGAGAGAGAACTGTAAAGCGGCTAAGGTTGTGTAAGGCCCTTACAGTACCTGACAGCACGACTTTATATGAAGCCTGTCGAAGGATGGCTGCACGTCGCGTTGATGCCTTATTGCTGACTGATTCTAATGCATTACTTTGTGGGATCCTTACAGACAGGGTAAAACTTCCATAATCAGTCACTGCAACTCAACTTTATGGGTTTGCACTTATTTCCATTAGGTAGAATAGATCAATTAATCCTCTCTTTTGGTTAAAGGATATTGCAACAAGAGTAATTGCGAAACAACTCAACCTTGAAGAAACACCTGTATCTAAGGTCATGACCAAGAACCCCGTCTTTGTTTTGTCTGATACAATTGCTGTGGAAGCTCTTCAAAAGATGGTGCAAGGTTTGTAAATCTGAGAGAAACCTTGCTCTTTCATAAATTCCTTGTTTTATATTGTTCTTGAAATTTGAACTGGCAAGTGGATCTGCAGGCAAATTTAGACATTTGCCAGTTGTAGAGAATGGAGAAGTCATCGCACTTCTCGATATTGCAAAGTGTTTGTATGATGCAATTGCCCGGATGGAAAGATCAGCTGAGAAGGGTAAGGCCATTGCTGCAGCTGTTGAAGGTGTTGAAAAGAACTGGGGGACATCTATTGCTGGTATGTTAGAAATATGGGACTCAGTATCAACTCCCGAACAGCTTTCGATTGGCTCTTTCATAAAACTGACAGGATCGTGTTTAAACAGAAATGATGTCTCTTATAGCCTCTTTTAAAATACAGGACCAAACACTTTTATGGAGACACTTAGAGAACGAATATTCAAGCCTTTGCTTTCAACTATAATTCCAGAGAATACAAAGTAGGTAATATCTTCTTTAAATTTATACTATAATTTGATCTTATCTTGTTTTGCCAAGAGTAGTGTAAAACTTAACTAGTAAATTGGGAATGAAAACATGCAGAGTTTTAAAGGTTGGATTGGATGAGACAGTGTTAGAAGTAACCATGAAGATGGTGGAATATCAGTCTAGCTCAGCCATGGTGATGGTTGAGAACAAATTAGCAGGAATTCTCACGTAAGTCTCATATGTTTCCGTTTTCTCGTTTCTGTTTATCTGGAGAATAATCCTGTTATGTTTCTCTGGTTAAGAAAATTTGTCTCCAGATGAAATACCACATCATATTTCAAACTTTTCTGGTGGAGCTTTGATTTTAGTTTGTGATTTTTTTTAGTTCAAAGGACATCTTGATGCGAGTGATAGCCCAAAAACTTCCTCCAGAGACGACCACTGTGGAGAAGGTAATTTTTTTCCATAAGTCGGGTTTTTGGTAGCCGGTCTGCTTATGCTTCTTCAGTTTCTGACTACATTCGAATCTGTTAGGAATTATTGATTTCATTTCTTCCTTTAGATTTATATCAGTGCTCTTTTCTTGTTTCTATCCAATTTTTCTATAGGTTATGACCCAAAACCCAGAATCTGCAACAGTTGATATGGCAATTGTTGATGCCTTACATATCATGCACAATGGAAAATTTCTGCATCTCCCTGTGTTGGATAAAGGTGACAAGAATTTCCCGAAATTGACTAAGCAATTAAAGTATATATGTTTGTTTGTTTATTCGGTACCTGGCTAAATGTTGATGATTCCACACAGATGGAAATGTTGTCGCTGTTATTGATGTAATCCACATAACTCATGCTGCTGTTACTACGGTACATTGTTTTATCTCTTTAAAATAACTATAGCTCATTGCACCATTCTTAAGTAGGAAACACGAGATAAATTAGTAACCAAAATGCGATAGCAATAAGAAATTGAAGAACAGGATATTCGTGACCACTTAGCATTCTTTTTGAATTCCACTTACCATTCTTAAGTAGGAAAATTGACATACATTAGTTACCAAAATGTGTTTTTTTGTATAAAAGTTAAACTTACTTTTGGTCAGGCTGGAAGTACGGCTGGAATAAATAATGAGACAGCAAACTCAATGATGCAAAAGTTTTGGGATTCTGCTATGGCTTTGTCTCCTAACGAAGATGGAGATGAAACAAGGAGGTTCTACTCATTTTCTTTATATAAATTATTTAGTTTTGACCAAAATCTTGGTTTCTCAAACTGGATCATAATTTTGCAGCGAAGAGGAATCATTGAAATTATCTTCGGAGATAGAAGGGACAAAATCATTCTCATATCCCAACACATTTGCTTTCAAACTCAAAGATAAAAAGGGACGGATGCATAGATTTATGTGCGGTACGTTTAATCAACTCTTGGAATCAAAAACACCATATTTTGCCGATGCCGCGGAGTCCATTTCAGTTATTACACTTTTACTTCCCATTTACAGAAACACAGAGTTTGACAACTCTGATAACGGCAATTCTACAAAGGATGGGGGATGACATTGAGCCTGATAACTTGCCTCAGATAATGGTTTGAATAGATATGAAATCTTTTCAATTGCAAAGAGGAATAAATCTGTTTTTTTTTCTTGACATAAATTTTGTTCTGT